ATGTCTTTTGTCTTTGAGTTTGGAGGGGTGCTTCGCTAACTTTATATAAAGTTACCAAAACACCTTATATCTAAAAAAAATACCACAGCGACAAAATTATTTTTTCCACAACTAATTAACGGCAAAAACGGCAAATTCATGGGTATATGCGGCATTTTTTTCTTGGTGTTGTTTCGCTAACTTTATACACATATTTATTTATAACAATATAATCGCGTAAATTGTACCTTGTTGTGGAAAATAGTAGATGAATACACGGTAAAAATGGCATTAAGCAAGCTTGGGTCAAATGAGTATGTTCAAGCGCAGACAAAGTTTTGCTGTTCAGTGTGTGTGTTCAAGCACATATGAAGATTTAACTTGCTTTCATTCGTTAACACATTGAAATAATTTCAACTCATTAATAATTGAATCGGTGAGTTTGACAACCGTACAAGTCCAAAATCAGTTTTTCGTAGTTGAGATAAAAATCAGTACAAGTCACGGACATGCATGGTTTTCTCTCATTTTACCGTATTAGATCCTTAGCCGTTAAAATAGTACAGCTGACTCCACCCGTGAAATCTGAAGAAAGCCGTACATGTCCGTACTGTTTTTGATTTCAACAACGACAAACTGATTTTGAACTTGTACGGTTGCCGAACTCAACGATTCAATTAAAAGAAAATGTATGAGAACAGAAAATAAAATTTTGTGAAAAAAGATACAAATTCACAATTTTGTAAGGTTTTCCAAGGATCGTTTCTACCGTGTAAAAAATGAATTAGGTGTATATGTCGCGTGAGACTGAGCGTGTGCATAAAAGTGTACACAGACTGATAGAGGAGGAGGGAAAGAAAAAAGTGATCGCTAGGGGGAATCAGAGACAGAATAGTGAGGTTGTGCTTTTTGTTGGTAGTGATGCCAATATGAACGTCTATAATTTATCACAAACATGAAGTGCCTTGAGGGATTCGTACATTGGATGCTTTTTAACCCTACTTGAAAATATACATATCATCGTTTAAAGTGCAAAGCCGCGTATCAGCAAAATGCAAAACCGCGTATGTGAAGTTGTAGAAATTATTTCCTAGAGCGTAAAAACACTCATATTTCAAAATGGTTCTCTTTTTTATA